CTGGCAGAGATAGGTCCATAGTTACCATTAAAGTTGAATAGGAAGTCATATACTGGCAATTTACTGTGACCTTGAAATTGACCTTTGACCTACCTTATGATGAACTTAACTTTGATTGTACCATTTTAAGTTATATATATTTAATTTAAGCATTTTTGATGGCTACCCATCATGTAACCAAACATCCAGAGTAAAGTCACTTCTATTAAGGCGCTGTTACTTGACAAATGACATTTCCGCTGGCGTCGCATTTTTGTTCTTTCCACCTAAGAAGAGGGAGAGTGAAACCAGCTAGGCAGGTGCAGGTGAAACTGCCCACGGTGTTGGCGCATGTAGCATTCTCAGCGCAATCATCATCATTAGTGTAGTGCCAGAGCAGGGTGAGAACGGCCCGGCCCGGCCCGGTAAGCGAGAGGACCCGGCTTCGGGCCCTGGTCCGGCAGGTGAATTTTACTCTCTCCAAAAATGCGCTACAATGTGCTGCTTTGGACAGATAACCGCCGCCAGCCTTTCGTTTAATTGAAAAAAGGTGATATCTCCATGCCCAATATCAATGGCATACCAATCGAAAACGACGACACCCTTTCTCTTTTTGACTATTAAAGGGAACCGGAGAAGACTGATTGTGCCCGGAAGTGACGTGTAGTGGTGTTAGAAGCGAAGCTGAGTGGTCATTTTAACCTGGAGGTGAACGGGAGAGAAGACGTGTAGTCGGAGGAAAAAGAAGTTTTCTAAACAACATGGTTAGATAACTCTCTTTTTTACGCATTTTGGGCAGAGAATACTTGTAGAAATAATAGATGCATGATATGAAAACGTGACACGGAACTTGAAGGTGCAAAATCGTGCTTAATTTGCGGTCAACTTGGTTTGAAATAAATGCTGCATCGACCGCCAGCGCGACAAAGAGCGTAAAGGGAAAATAATTCCCGGGAGTCTATAAATCGTTGTCATGTGGAAATATGGCATTAATATAATCTGATATGTCCATATCTAAGTATTTTGGGGTGTTTTATGGTATGGGCTGCAATTATTACGATGTTTTAGAGGTCTTGAAGGACCTTATGAAAACCAGGAAGTAGTTCGTAACTAACAACTGAATCGTACTGATCTCCGACTGCTGTGCAAAGCTGTATCTTTTTTCAATATTTTGACGAATTTTTAGATCTCTATATGTCCATCTGACATGAAATTCCACACATATGATCACACTAACACACCTTTTACACCGTGGGAGGCGCTAATCAGTGACAAATGCCAAGACAAAGGTGACATTCTGACAGCCTCTTATCTGAGTTAAAAATCACTGACAAAAGAGACTGGCAATCAATTTTCTTCAGGCTGGCAATCATTAGCCTATAGAAATTGGTAATGTTACATCTTATCTACCTGTGAGAATCGTTTTACCAAATGGTGCTTTATAATACTTCATATGTGAATGCATTTATGTAACTAAAAACCTTCTTTTAAGGATACATGAGAAAATTTGATTGGAATATAAAATCCGAAAAACTTAACTCTAATTATGACAGTGTTTAAACAATTTCATCATTTTTTACACAAAAAATGTAGTAATTGTTTAATATAAATATAACATTTACTATATATTAAATCAACAATAATCAAAACCCATGTAACTTATGAGAGCAAAACCATTACAAATGACAGAATATCTTTTTTCCTGTCACTAAGTATAGCCCCTCGCCACCATCCCCCTGAAAAATATATACCTGAAATAACTTCCCTAAATCACGCTTGATGCTCACTATCCACTACTTTTTCAGTTTTTCATCTACTGGAAATGTATGGTAGGACAGCTTCCCATCTTGGGAAAGTGGGCCACTGGGGCAAAGAGGCACACAACAGTTCCTGAGACTATAAAATTAAAAGTAGCATAATAAGTACTGAACAATTAATAACAAATGAGCTACTGCACAGCAATCAATGTGCAAGTCAAGACCATTTTGACAGGTAATTAGCTGTAAGATGCCATTAAATGCCAGTCGCGTACTTGTGATTTTTAGCTCAGATAAGAGGCTGTCAGAATGTCACCTTTGTCTTGGCATTTGTCACTGATTTATGCCTACCCCAGTGTAAAAGGTGTATTAGTGTGCTCATATGTGTGGAATTTCATATCAGATGGACAAATAAAGATCTAAAAATTCGTTAAAGTATTGAAAAAAAGATACAGCTTTGCACAGCAGTCGGAGATCGGTACGGTTCAGTCGTTAATTACGAACTACTTCCTGGTTTTAACAAGGTCCTTCAAGACCTCTATAACATCGTTATAATTGCAGCCCATACCATAAAACACCCCAAAATACTTAGATATGGACATATCAGATTATATTAATGCCAAATTTCCACATGACAACGATTTATAGACTCCCGGGAATTATTTTCCCTTTACGCTCTTTGTCGCGCTGGCGGTCGATGCAGCATTCATTTCAAAACAAGTTGACCGCAAATTAAGCACGACTTTGCACCTTCAAGTTCCGTGTCACGTTTTCATATCATGCATCTATTATTTCTACAAGTATTCTCTGTCCAAAATGCGTAAAAAAAGAGAGTTATCTAACCATGTTGTTTAGAAAACGTTTTTTTCTTCCGACTACACGTCTTCTCTCCCGTTCACCTCCAGGTTAAAATGACCACTCAGCTTCGCTTCTTACACCATTTGACGTCACACTTCCGGCACAATTCTGACCAATGCCAATCTTCTCCGGTACCCTTTATTGTCGTGTAATTTGAAAGTAATCCTAGAGATGAATTTGACGGCAAAGCGGACATATTTCCACGGGGCGATAGTACGCATGCGCAGAAAGCTTATTTTCCGGCAAATTCAATAACGACGTTTGCGACAACCGACTTCGTGGGGGGTCATTTTATTTTTTGGAGAACGGACGAAAGTCGGTGCGCGTGTAGGATGTCATCCATAAAAATAAAAAAAAATTGTGGACTAATAAAATATTTAATAATAACATTTAATAATAACACCTGACCCAAAATGAATACGTAGTTGTAGAAACACCACTGCGTATTAAGGGCTGCTGTAGACTGTAAACAAACGTACCGTTGTTGCATTTAAGAATATTTTGGAGAGCTTTGCAGTTTTCCTCAATGAATTATTCTTTTACTTATTCTTTTGTATGCTTTTACAATTAAAATTGTAGTATTTTTTAAATAGAACTTTGACAGTTTTCAAGTAGTCTTAATATTGTACCTGCAAAAGTCGAAGACTTCAAAAATGTCTTAAGATTTTCGAAACACTCGTAAGCCAGCTTATTCTAAGAAACCAAAGATTTCACCTTGAAACTAACAAACTTTATTGTTCAAGAGGGGCACCTTTTTGTGTCAAATTATTCGTATTATCCTCATTTAATGTCTTTAGTTAGGCTCCAGTAATATTATACGGTATTTGTCAAAATAATTATAAATGATAGGCAAACTGTAGAAATAAGAGCAAAAATACTCGTTTTTCTTTCTGGAGATTACTTGTTGAAGAAACTTATCAAAGAAAGTGAAGTTCGAATTCTGATTATTTGTTCGATTCTATAAAGCCGTTCTAACTTCACACATGACATTTCCGACAGCATCGCAGTTTAATTCTTATTTTAAACTTTTCCGAAAATTTAGTAAAAAGGAAAATGTATTCATTTTTTCTTGATGGGCTTTGTTGTCAAAAAGATATGATCAAAGTGTATTACAAATTTTGAATATTGATTTGTGTACACATGTTAGTAAATAGATAATGAATGTCTACCGATCTTGTAACCTGATTATTTTTAAAAAGACCAATTCTATAAAGACGCTGTTACTTGACAAATGACATTTCCGCTGGCATCGCAGCTTTGGTCTTTCCACTTAACAAGAGGAAAGTTTTTAGTGTTTATGGCCCCACAGCTCTTAGCGGCATTGGTTGGATCAGTTCCCCCTCCACTTCCATCCCAGTTTATGTATCCTAAAGACGTGCCATCTGTCCATTGCCAGCTACCGGTGGTGAACTTCTCAAGTCCTATCCAGTGCAGGATTAACGATGAGCTGCAATGATGTCACAAAAACACAATATTTCAAAAAAGAACTAAATAGAATATGAAGGGAAAATTCATTCTAAGCACTCTTTATAACTGGCGGAGAGAAACAAATTTAAAACGCATTTCGCTTACCTGGTTGGAATAAGGCTTTCTGCCTTGTTTTGCTCGTCTTGGTTTAGTATAATGGCAAGAGTGGCCCCCGTCGCTTGTTGTGTACAAAAAGTACTGGCGGCGGCAAAGGTGATTCCAGTGTTGCCATTAGGAGTAAAATAATTCAAACATTTTGTACCATCGTTTGTGCTGAACCAAAATTCTGTTCCTGGTGGTCCCAAAATGCATGCTGCAAAAAAGGTGAAATACAATAAGCAAACTTACCAACTTACCAATTACTCATTGTAATAAGATCTTCAGGAGATTGAACCCGGTAAAAAAATAAGACAAAGGTCTCACTTAACCATCTGACCAGCGAAAGTGTTCCAAGAGAAAAACAAATTCCGTATATCGACTAATCAGGTCAACAGTGCGTTGCTTCTCCAATATCTGCAATGAAAGGGAGTGTAAACATCCCTAAATTTTTTTCTTACTTCTGATATCATCACAAGTTGTGCCGTCGCCGCTGAAACCAATGTGGCAGGTGCACGTGAAACTGCCCACGGTGTTGGTGCATGTGGCATTCTCAGCGCAATCATCTGTGGCTAAGGCACATTCGTCTACATCGGCACACGCTGTGCCGTCGCCGGTGAAACCAGCCAGGCAGGTGCAGGTGAAACTGCCCACGGTGTTGGCGCATGTGGCATTCTCAGCGCAATCATCTGTGGCTAAGGCACATTCGTCTACATCGGCACACGCTGTGCCGTCGCCGGTGAAACCAGCCAGGCAGGTGCAGGTGAAACTGCCCACGGTGTTGGCGCATGTGGCATTCTCAGCGCAATCATCTGTGGCTAGGGCACATTCATCTATATCATCACACGTTGTTCCGTTGCCGGTGAAACCAGCCAGGCAGGTGCAGGTGAAACCGTCCACAGTGTTCGAGCAAGTTGCATTTTCAGCACAAGTATTGGAGAAACATTGGTTTTCGAACTGAGTGACCTTAGTTGGATTAAAAAAAAATCAAATATAATTCAATATTGTGTTTCACATGTTTTTGAAAGTTAACTCCTGAAATTGGCTACATTAGTGTGCTAAATGTCAGTTTTAGCCAATATTTGTTGATAGTCACTTCCTGTAAAAATTATTAAAAAAATTTCCGACAATTTAGTATTCTCTTTTTCTAAATGGACGTTGTTGTCAAAAATATGATCAAAGTGCATTACAAATTTAGAATATTGATTTGTGTACACATGTTAGTTAGTAGATAGTGAATGTCAACCGATCTTGTAACCTCATTACTTTGAAAAAGACCAATTCTATAAAGGCGCTGTTACTTGACAAATGACATTTCCGCTGGCATCGCAGCTTTGGTCTTTCCACTTAACAAGAGGAAAATTTTTAGTGTTAATGGCCCCACAGCTCTTAGCGGCATTAGTTGGATCAGTTCCCCCTCCACTTCCATCCCAGTTTATGTATCCTAAAGACGTGCCATCTGTCCATTGCCAGCTACCGGTGGTGAACTTCTCAAGTCCTATCCAGTGCAGTATTAACGATGAGCTGCAATGATTTCACAAAACACAATATTTAAAAAAAGAACTAAATAGAATATAAAGCGAAATCCATTCTAAGCACTCTTTATAAATGATGGAGAAAAACAAATTTCAAACGCATTTGCTTACCTGGTTGGAATAAGGCTTTCTGCCTTGTTTTGCTCGTCTTGGTTTAGTATAATGGCAAGAGTGGCCCCCGTCGCTTGTTGTGTACAAAAAGTACTGGCGGCGGCAAAGGTGATTCCAGTGTTGCCATTAGGAGTAAAATAATTCAAACATTTTGTACCATCGTTTGTGCTGAACCAAAATTCTGTTCCTGGTGGTCCAACAATGCAAGCTGCAAAAAAGGTGAAAAACTACTTGGAAACTTAAAATGATTTCATTATATGAACACAATGTAGCTTCAATACAGTTGAAAAGACAGAAAAGTATCTCATGGCCACATTTAACCACGCTATTTCCAAAAAACTTTATATCCAGAATTGTTTGGATCATTTCAAGTGCTCATTTGTCAGAATTTCATGAAGGTAAAAAGTATTTAAGAAACAAGATATTAATTTTATTGTATGAACACAGTGTGACTAAAATGAAGTTAATAAGAATTTCAGTAGTGTTAACACGGAAGAAAAAAGACAAATGTCAGATTTTACCACCTGACAAAAGAAAAGTTCCATGAGAATAATAAGATTCAAATATCAAATATTCAAGTGTCCAACAGCTGCAAAGAAAACGTGTGTAAATATAGCTACAGAAAAAGATAAGTTATTTCAAAAGCCTTACTTCTGATATCATCACAATTTGTGCCGTCGCCGCTGAAACCAACTAGGCAGGTGCAGGTGAAACTGCCCACGGTGTTGGCGCATGTGGCATTCTCAGCGCAATCATCTGTGGCTAGGGCACATTCGTCTACATCGGCACACGCTGTGCCGTCGCCGGTGAAACCAGCTAGGCAGGTGCAGGTGAAACTGCCCACGGTGTTGGCGCATGTGGCATTCTCAGCGCAAATTTCTGTGGCTAGGGCACATTCGTCTACATCGGCACACGCTGTGCCGTCGCCGGTGAATCCGTCTTTGCACGCGCACGTGAAACTGCCCACAGTGTTTGTGCATAAAGCATTTTGATTGCAGTTATTTGATGTAATGGTATTCAGAGGAAACGTCGCTGTTGTACCTGCAATTATTGCCTGTGTTGATTTCGCTGTAGGCGGTGGGGTTGTAATTACACGTACCACTGTAGTTGTCCTTATTGTTGGCCACCAGTTTTGACGTACCATTGAACCAAATTGGATAAATTGTCTTTTCCTTCTTTTAACAAGTCCACGACGCTCTAATTTTTTGAGGACGTGAGTTTCACCGATAGATCTTCGCCTACGATCATTTAAGTCCTGTGATGTAGATGTATTGTTAAGTGCACATTCGTCTATATCCTCACACGTTGTGCCATCACCAGTAAAACCGTTGAGGCACGTGCATATATAGCTACCCACAGTGTTAGCACACGTGGAATTTTCTGTGCAGTTATCGATATCCAGAGAACACTCGTCTATATCATCAACACATTGATAACTGCCTATAGTGTTGATACATTGTTGGTTTGGACAAGGGGAATTGGCACATTCGTCGACATCTGTAATAAAACGTTTACCACCAATTGAATATCAATATATTATCTCTTGCCTGCATGCCTGCCTGCTTGCCTATCTATCTATCTATCTATCTATCTATCTATCTGTCTATCTATCTATCACATTATTACGGCATAACATAAAATGATATACACTTTTATTTAATAAGCAAAACTTAAATTGGATTACCCTATTGTCACATTGTACATTATCTTGTCAAGAAATGTAAATTATTTAAAATAACAGAGAGAGAGAGAGAGAGAGAGAGAGAGAGAGGAGGAGAGAAAAATGACTCCCCAGACCTGTACACGTAGTTCCGTCCCCAGTAAATCCGTTTCTACATACACAAGTACAACCTGTTGTTGGTGTCTGTGCGGGATTCGACTGGCACGAGCTAAATAAAAAGGAACACAGGATCCCGTTCCCCAACAGATGGTTGTTGAGGAATAACCCTGTGTTTGAAACACACTCTGCGTTTTCATCGCATGTTTGAGCAATGGACCCTGAAACACATGTACAATATAAATACTTCACAAGTAAATGTTATATATTGTCTTTAGCGGAAGTTGACAGTCGCTGTTCAGATGAGCTTCTGTATATTATCTGAAATGTATACATAACATTTACCCCTGTTCACGTGCTCACATTTTTGTAGTCTTGATTTAACCCCCTCCCCCACACAATACGTAAAATATTTTTGTACGAAAAGGAGAGGAATATCGTATTTTTGTAGATTAAGGCACATGTAGCCTATTTTACCCTGAGGACGATTCTAGACGGAATGACCGCTTTGGATGTTGATGTCCGGTGTTTTTATATAAGAAAATTTTTGGGAATAAAATGCACCAAACAATAAACACTGACATGTAATTGTTTAATAATAAACACCAATCCCAGAGCTTGTTTTACAATATCGATGCAGTTTTAGGTAAGGGCCTAAATGAGAAAAGCCGATTCTGCGTTGTTAGTTTAAAATTCAAAGTTTGAAAACAATGGGTGCAATTTAGAGAACAAGCAGTGAATGGGTTACATAATATTCAATGTAAATGAAAATGTAGATAAATCAATTGAATTGATGCTGGTTCTAATGTTGTAAAGATTAAGAAAAAATAAAGAAAAACAATTAAATAAATTTGGATGCAGTACGTTACGTTTTGAGTAAGATAGGCTCCAGTCAGCAACAATTCACTAGACTTTTGTAAGAGTTATGTCTGGTTTTAAAGATACCCTAAACGGGACCTACTCGCCAAAGAGAATTTTTCTCTTGAAGAGGGCATTTTTCTCTTACCCAGGAATTATTGCTCGATCTGTCCAGTTGAATTTGATGTTTTATTACATGTTTTGTTAAAAAAAGTCAGTTTTAAATGACTGGGTAGTCATGTAGGAGGCCATGTCTTACTGTATATTTCAGAAAGACAACTAGGCGTCAGCTTATTTTATTTGAGGGGGTTTTATTAATTTTAGGGTTTAAATTTGGGGGAACTGGAGCTCTGTGAATGAATAAAGAATAACAAAAAGAAATACATGTTTATAATGATTTAAAAGATGACAAAAGCATTAACTCTATCTAAGCTATTGGATCTTAAGCTTTAAAGGGGTTAAGGTGCTAAGACATTGAAGGTAGTATCATAACCGTATTTCTCGCTGTAAAGTTCCGGCGTTAAGATGTGTTATCGGCAATACATATGTACAACTATACCGCTGCTGCCTCCAGCAAATATTGCTCACACATGTCAGAAAAACAACCTGGGTGGAGTTAAACACTTATATTACTCAAGTATTATCGCAGTGGGCGTATCACGCGCGTTAAAGACGGTAACACGAGTGACCATAAATTTGAAATATGGTACTTTTTTTCTTAGTTTAATGCTCAGTCAATTGCAGATTTTTTAAAATGGATTCCTGCTTTTTTTTTTTTTACAAAACCTTTATTTTGTTGTATGAAACATATATTCCGCGTTTTAGAGATTATCCATAGGAGCTGGCACAAGTGATATATACATTTCATACAGATATCGCGCTTGATATAAACAATATATAAGGATAAAATTAGAAGTATCTTGGCTCTTGCTTAAACAATTCATAATTAAATCAGCAAATTCTTAATCAGATCTGTTACTTGTTTTTAGTTATTTTGGCATTGTGTAAAATCGACCCACAAGTTTGCGTTACATCCCATTATTAGCTGTTACTGATGAACATGTAACAAGGCATCTATACGTGAGTAGGTTTGGATAATAAGGGGAACTCGACTATCGCGTTTAATTCTCTTTAAAACATTTTTGGAACAAAGAACGATAAATATATCCTAATATTGACCCAAAGGATGCATTTCTATTCGTTTATCAACGGACCCCTTTTTACGTAATATACAGACTTGACATTTAATATGGAATATTTCAGTTTTAAAGGTATACCTAGTTAAAAAATGCTTTCTTTTTTCAAAAAAACTCAGATCTCACATAAGATATCTGACTGGAGAAGTATGAAGTCAGGTGTGTCGCTACCAATTAACTGACTACCAAGTCTGTTGCACTGCTGCATTGTGTAATATGCAGTGATTTAATTGGCTGGTGCTCCTTTGGGCTGGTCAAAGCTTGGCTTTGATGAAGCATGGTTCTGTCAAAAAAGTATCCATGTGTCGGCAACTACTGTATCGAAGAATTTGAAATTTTGCATGCAAACGGACCGTTGCATTGCGTAACATGAATTAAGCAGTGTTTTTTAAAATTGTTTAGCTGTGCCAGAATGGCGCGAAAAAGACAGACATTGCCAGACAGATTATTGTGTCAAACGGAATGGTCTGCACAGTTTTATAGGGTTATGCCCAAACTGATGCACCTACACAGATACCACGCCCAATGTATCGACATCTTACCACCAGGTTACAGGACTCGCTGTCCTTCAGGATATGCTGCTGCAATTAAACCAAAACCACCCAGTCCGTTTTGAATGAGGGGCAAATTGTCACCAAAACGCGTTTTTTCAAGGCTCTTAGCGAACACCAAAATGGTTTCAGAAGGTTAGGATATCAGGCGACCTCTGAGGAAGCCACTGTAAACAGCTAAACGGCGTAGTCTGTCTCTCTAATGAATTGGGGACCCTGACCGTTTCTGGGTAGAACACTGATATCGCGTGGCTTTCTTTATGGAAGTCAGATTTCACCCGTACCACTAAAATGGTCAAAACAGTGTTTACAGACATCCTGAAGAGGCCTACGACAAGACGTGTGTACTATTTAAGTGACTAGGGTCATTGGAAGCATCACTATTTGGAGTGGATACCACATTAGTGCCAAAACACTAATGGAAGTCATCGATGAAAACCTGAACCAGATCAAATAGAGGAATACTCTGGGAACCACTTGACCATCATTTGATAGGGGCATCTTAGGAACAATTTTGGTTGCACGATGAGATTGCCGGTTCACACAGAGAACTTTTAATAGCAGATAACTTACAGAACCAAGGGAATGAGCAGCTACCTTGGTCATCAAAATCGCCATATTTGAACCACATAGACAATATGTGGGTAGGTCATTACTCGCTGTATCAACGGCTTGCATGTCCTACAACAAAACTGAACCAAACTGGCCAAGTCTTAACCGTTGCCTGGAATTTTATTCCAGATTAAACTCTAAAAACCCATTCTAAGGAATGTCTTGTCGCTTGAAAGCTCTGGTAGCAGCAAGATGAGGTCCGGCGTAACAGCGACCATTGCTGTGACTAGACACCCACATGAGGGACCTTTGTGGGGCGTGTAACTCTTTTAAAGAGGATAACTTGGAAAATATGGATATCCAAAATATCGCTTTCAATGGTTGTCGTATGACTTAAAATAGGCAATGTATTTTTGTTTGCTTCACTGGCGAATTCAATTAATGGACTCATGTCACAATAACATCGAACAAATTATCAGAAGTTTTTAAAACACGATTTTAATCCTTCTTTTCATTTATCAGTCAGCAAAATAGGAAAAAACTGATTAATTATGATTTGGAAAAAATATTCCATATTAAATGTCAAGTCTGTAGTAATATATGTACGTATAATACGTAATATATGTGGTTGTTAAAACAAGTTTGACATATTTTGTGGTTACAAGTTTTACTTTACATGCATTTTGGAATGACGAAATAATTATGGATTCAAGATAAAAGCGAATTTTGAAAAAAGAATTAAATGGAAAATATTAAATTTAAAAAACGGAATGAAATAAGGAGAATTTAGTGTAGCAAATGATAAAATTAAATAATCAGGACAACAACTTGTAATTACACACATATATAAAAGTACTTACACTTGAATAGGGTGACCAGTAACAAAACACTCAACGACATTATCTTTATCTCTGCCCACCTCGCTTCATATCAGTGAATCCAATCCCAGGACATTCGCACTTTTATCTACAACTTTTTAGCCCTCGGCATTGGTTGCGGTGCTATGCTAATTCGCTGTCACGTGAAGAAATGCGTCATTTTTAGCCAATTCTGTATTCATTAGCTGCAGCTTTCAGTTAACAATGGTGTTTTTGTTTGGGATGGGTTGAATTTAAAGGCTTTTTACATTAAAGATGTTGCTATGCTTACGTTTCATTTTGGGTTTAAATCAGTTTGAGCACAAATGCCCTTACATGTAATCAATCCCAACACAGGCAGGCCCGTAGCCAGCAATTACAAAGGGGGGGGGGGGCTTTTTTNGCTTACGTTTCATTTTGGGTTTAAATCAGTTTGAGCACAAATGCCCTTACATGTAATCAATCCCAACACAGGCAGGCCCGTAGCCAGCAATTACAAAGGGGGGGGGGGCTTTTTTCTGAAAAAGTGGACCTTTTACCATATAATCCCCATGTACCTAGGTCAAATTTTACCCAGAGTGGACCTTTTCCAGCAAAAAGGGAGGGTTCTTTCGAACCCCCCGAATCCCCCCTGGCTACGGGCCCGACAGGTGACCAGGTAATAAAGAATATGCATGTGCAGTAGAGAAAATGCTAGTAAGTCATAGCATCAGAAATAATAATCAAGAGAGAAAATACCTTAAGGTGCCGTAATTATGTTCACTTTAGTACATTGTAGTAAGAAAACTGTTTGAATTTTCTATTAGCCATTGGATTTTTTACTTAGAAAGAGACGTGTGTAAAGCTATAGAAATACAACATACACGTATATGGGTTTATTTGAACGTGATCTCGATCGTTGTCATTGCTCCCGGAAATTCGTGATTTATCTGACACTATTTTAATATTTTAATTAAAATTATTCTTAGTTTTTTGGCTAAGGGTCACTTAATAATGGTACTTAGAAACACTACATGTCCGCAGACTAGTTTTGAACTGTTTCTCGGACAATGTTTTTATAAAGTCATTAAAAATTTTCGTAATTTCGAGGTTAAATATTTGTTTTATTTATGAAGTAGAAGGATTGTACATATTTAAAATCTTGACTTTGTAAGTATCAGAAACTGTTAATATTTTATGCAATTCGTTATCATCCTCGACGCGTACT